CGAAGTGGGCAAGTGGTTAATACGCATACGGGGTGACATTGAAAGTATGGTCTTAACTTTCTAGAGGCGCTTATCAGTGCAAGTGCCAAATTTTCTAATTGTGGATATCTAGTTTCTGCTTCTCCTGAGGTTCGACTTACATAATAAACGGGAAATTGCGTACCTTGATCTTCCCGAACTAAGACACCACTTACCGCAATTTATGATACTGCCAAGTACAAGTAAAGTTTCCCATCTGCCTTTGGAGTGTGAAGCAGTAGTGGGCTCGATAGGTATCGCTTTAACTATTCCAATGCATGTTGGCATTCCGGGGTCCAGGCAAAATCGCTCTTCTTTTTGAGTAAAGAGAAAAATCTATGGCTTCGATCCGATGACCTTGAAATGAATAGGCCTAAGGCAGCTATCCGTCCAGTTAGCCTTTTTACGGCCTTTACACTATCCACGACGGCGATGTCTTCGATGGCCTTGATTTTATCGGGGTTGATCTCGATCCCCTGATTTGATACCATGAAGCCAAGGAACTTGCCCGAAGTAACCCCTAAAGCATATTTCTCGGGGTTGAGTTTTATGTTGTATTTCCTTAAAATCTCAAACGTTTCCTGCAAATGAGCCAAATGGTCCTTTGTGCGCAGGGACTTAACTAGCATGTTATCAATATAAACCTCCATTGATTTACCTATTTGTTCTTCAAATATTTTATTCACTAGGCGTTGGTAAGTAGCTCCTGCATTTTTTAGCCCGAACGACATTACATTATAACAATATGTTCCATACTTCGTGATAAATGAAGTCTTTTCTTGGTCTTCCGGGTTCATTTGGATATGATTGTACTAGTAATAGGCATCGAGAAAAGTAAGGATCTCGTGGCCGGCCGTGGCATCAATCATGCGATCGATGTTAGGAAGTGGAAAAGAATCTTTGGGGCACGCCTTATTTAAATCCTTATAATCTACACACATTCTAAGTTTATCCCCCTTTTTTAGGGACTACAACTACATTGGCTAACCATTCGGGATATTTCACCTCCCGAATGGATCCTATTTTGAGAGGTTTAGTTACCTCGTCCTTTATGAATATGTGCTTTACTTAGGACTGGGGTCTTCTCTTTTGCTTCACCGATTTGAATCTAGGGTCCAGGCTTAGCCGATGTGTCGTTACCTCCAGTGGAATCCTTGTCATGTCTAAATGGGACCAAGCAAAACAATCTATATTATCAACAAGAAATTGGATAAGTTTTTTCCTGAGTTCGGGGGTTAATCCCGTTCCTAGGTATACCTTTCGCTCGGGCAGGTACTCGATCAATATAACCTATTCCAGCTCTTCGACCATTGATTTGGTAGCGTCAGTATCTTTGGGAACAACAAAAGTTCGAGGGGTCAGAAAATCCTCCTCTTCTTCTTCTATCTCCCGCTGCCCTGATTCGGTCGAGGTTGGTGGCTGTGATTGCTATTTGACTTCCTTTTTAACTTTGATGCTCGAACTTTTCAAGGTTGATAGTGTCAATATCGAGGTCATCTCATCGACCGCAAACAATTCCTTTGCAGTATGCTGCTCCCCGTATATTGTTTTTACACCGTCCGACGTCGGGAATTTCATCATTTGGTGGAGAGTCGAAGGGACTGCCCTCATATTGTGGATCCAAGGCCTTCCGAGCAGGGCATTGTACCTCATGTCGCCTTCAATTACATGGAACTTGGTATCTTGAATGGTTCCAGCCATGTTCACTGGTAGAATAATCTCCCATTAAGTTGTTTCACTGGCCATATTGAAGCTGTTTAAGACTCGAGTTGCGGGTACGATTTGACTTTGTAGGCCAAGCTGCTCCACGGCCCTCGATCGGATGATATTTGCTGAGCTACCTGGATCCACTAAAACACGCTTAACTTGAACTTTATTTAATAAGATAGAAATTACCAGAGCATCATTGTGGGGCTGAGAAATGCCTTATGTTTCTTCGTTGTTGAATGATAAAGTACCTTCGGGAACATAATCTCGTGTTCTTTTTTCCCTAGTGATTGACACCTTAGTGCGTTTGAATATGGGTTCCTATGGGATGTCGACCCCTCCGACGATCATATGAATGACATGTTGGGGTTCCTCCTGTTCATTTTTCCTGTTGGCGTCTCTTTCTCTTAAATGATTCTTAGCTCGATCGCTGAGGAACTCCCGAAGGTGACCCTCATTGAATAGACGGGCTACCTCCTCCCTTAATTTCCTGCAATCCTCGGTCTTGTGACCATGCGTGCCATGATACTTGCACATCAAATTTGGGTTTCTTTGGGAAGGATCGATTTGTATAGGTTTGGGCCACCTAGTATCTCTGATCCTTCCGATTGCCGAATCAATACCCGATGCATGGATGCTAAAAGTTATATTCCGATAACCAAGGTGCCTCTGTGGGATCGGCATACTTGTCGAAACCACTTTTGCTCATAAGTCCCCGAGAATTCTGTCCACGATCATTTCTTCGATCGTTTCGGGCGGAATTGCGTCCTGAACCATTGTTCCTTCGATCTGTGGTATATGGTTGATATCGGTCCCTGTTCGACCTTGACTCCCTGTCGACGTCCCTCTGGTTTTTAACTGTTGACCTGTTTGGATATACTGAACCGGAAAGGGCTCCTAATTGGTCGACCTCGACCCTGATCTTCGACTGATATCGATTGTGTACATCTGCCCAAGTTATAGCTGGATACTCAATCAAATTTTGTTTCAACTGCCGTGATGCTATCAAACTCCGTTCGTTCAACCCTTGGGTGAAAGCTTGAACGGCCCAATCATCTGTGACTGGTGGTAACTCCATGCGTTCCATTTGAAATCGGGACACGAACTCCCTTAGCATTTCATTATCCCTTTGTCTTACCTTGAAAAGTTCCGACTTTCTCGTTGCGGCCTTTATGGCTCCGGCATGTGCCTTTACAAAAGAATCTGCTAACATGGCAAATGAATCGATGGAATTTGGTGGCAGGTTGTGATACCAAATCATTGCTCCCTTCGAAAGGGTCTCTCCGAATTTTTTTAACAGCACGAATTTGATTTCATCATCCTCTAAATCGTTACCCTTGATGGCGCATGTATATGAAGTAACATGCTCGTTGGGATCGGTAGTCCCATTGTATTTGGGTATGTTTGGCATACGAAACTTCTTTGGAATAGGCTTCGGAGCCGCACTTGGAGGAAACGACTTTTGTACAAACTTCTTCGAATCCATCCCTCTCAAGATTGGTGGTGCCCCTAGTATCTGATCAACTCGAGAGTTGTATGTCTCCACTTTTTTATCGTTGGTTTCGATTCTCTTCTCCCCTGATTCAATTCTTTTTGTGAGCTCCTCAAGCATTTTCATTACTACAAGATTAGTCTCTGATTCATTACCATTCGACCTTTCCGGTACTGGCTCGGTACGGCAAGTAATTTTCGGCTCGACCCTATTCGGAGCTCTATGTTGATTTTGTAACTGAGCAATAGCGGCTTGCTGAGCCTGAAGCATCTCGAATATCAATTGGAGACTGACGCCTTCGTCTTTTCTGCCATGTGTTCCTTGGTCACTAGATCGGCCTTCTCTGCGTATACTCCCATCGAGATCTGCGCCTAGGTCCGCGTTTAGAGCAATGTGCGAACTGACATCGACTGGGTTGACAACCGGTGTTGCACCGAGATTAGCCTGTGGCACCTCGATTCCTGGAGCGATCACATTTTCGTTTTCATCGTGGAATCCGAGGCCATTGTTACCGTGTGTGGATGCGTTTTGTGAGTTTGACATCTTTTAACCTGAAAGCAAAGATACTCAACAAGAACAAACGTAAAATAGAGTATTTTACCAGAATTAGTACTGAACAATCACTATTATCCTTAGCCCCACGGTGGGCGCCAAACTGTTTACCCTAAAATTCGAGTAACAATTAAACTTATTTAGTGGTTTTAATGATACGTGATTTTATCCAATACCAATTGACAAACAAGGAATTGAATAAATAATCTGAATAGTAAAATAAATTAAACCAGTGTTCTAGCAGTGCTTTCGACCTCGATTCGAGATGGTCTCGAGGTTGGGTAAGAAGAACAGTAAAGAGCGGAAGATAAACAATGATGAACAGTAATGGATAGTAAGTAAAATAGAGAACAGCATTTTTGTATATCTTTATCAGTGAATCAATGCCTCTTACAAATGAATAAGGTCCCTCTTTATATAGTAGAGGAATCCTAAATAAGGTACAATTCTAATAACGGAAACAAATCCCATGATTGGCGTCAATAACCGCTTGATTCGATCTGTTCCGGGATTTCCGCCGAGATTTTCGGTCGGTTGCTAATATTTTGCCATTCCGTTATTACTCGAAGTCGGTCATGCTCGGTCTCAATCTTCAGCGAGCACTTCGATCTTCATGCTCCATACTCTGCCATTGAGCTCGAGCCTGGTCTATCATGAGCTTACCCTCGAGGCAGCTCCTCGTGCCTACAAAATCTGACATGCCCGATTTTGACCGTATATATGTTTGAATCTGAATTGAATTAACAATGAGGAGCGATCAAATCAGTAACAATAACATTATGATCCTTCAGTACAGTATGCCACCAGCTGCCCTACTTTTAGATTAGTAATAGATAAAATAGATGAGAGAAGGTCTGAGGGACGATAAGATCAATTTTGTTTTTCATATTCAATCATGAAAGGGCAATTTGAGCAATCAAAACTATGCCTTCTGCATTGCTTACTATGAAGTATGAACAGTTAACAATCAATAATTTTTAATTTACTAAGCCAGTTCAGTAAGTTAAGATTGATGCTTGAAAATGTAAAATCCCTTAGTGGTATTTAATTTTGTTTGATAGTGAAAGAATTTTTACACAAATGAGTGCGAAGAGGAATTAGTAATTATCGCAACGTGTCTCTCTACATTCACATCGTAACCTTCTTTCAGCCCACTCCCACAGGACCCGAGTCCGGGAAAAAGCAACCGATTCTCTTTCTTAACAATAAATACGGCCCTCCCTTTCCCATCTTCTCCACTTTATATATATTTATCACTGACACTCGTTTCTCCACAACGCATCAACTCGAAACCTTTCCCATTTCCTTACAACTCACCAACTTTTACACCCAAAAAAAGAAAAAAAAATGGCTTGTGGGTTCAACTCAGTTACGGCTCTGTTATGCCTTGTTTCATTCTGGATTTTCACTTTCATTGCTGTGGAGTCAGCAGCACACCAATCGGCACCTGCTCCAGCAGCAGATTGCAACAACCTGATACTCAACTTGGCCGACTGTTTGTCTTTCGTGACCAACGGCAGTACGGAGAAGAAACCAGCGGGTTCTTGTTGTTCTGGTCTAAAAATGGTGTTGAAAACAGACGCTGAGTGTCTCTGTGAAGGATTCAAGAACAGTGCTCAGTTGGGTGTTGCTCTTAATATCACAAAGGCCTTATCTTTGCCTTCCGCTTGCCATGTCTCTGCTCCTTCTGTTACCAATTGTGGTTGTGAGTTACCCCGTTTACCCCATCTATCTCTTTATTTCTTTCTTAATCACATGCATAATATATTTGTTTTGTTATGGTGATTTCTCACCTGCTCTGTGATTTCATTTCTTTCCCCATATACTACCATCTATCTCCCCGTCTCTCTTTTTCTGTTGTCTGTCAGATTCTGAGAATGTGTTTTATCTAGCATCTGCAGTTGTTTATGGTTCTCATTTTGTACGGAAAAAATGTCTATACATCACTTTTAGAAATCATTATTCTGAGTTAAATGATATCCATACAATTAATGGTAATGTTGGATATAAATATATATGTTTTTATGAAATTCTTGCTTATTGAAGGTTGACAACAACTATGTCTAATTGTTGATTGAACATTTTATATTCTGGAATATTTGTTATAGACAACAATATATTTTTCAATTTTAGTGGAAAATGAAGAAAATATATATACTAAGGCCAGCCGGTGCACTAAGCTTCCGCTATGCGCGGGGTTCGGGTAAGGGCCGAACCACAATGGCCTATTGTCTGCAATAGGCTGTTTTACGGCTCGAACGTTAGAAGAAAATATATATACTGCAGTACCAAAATTCAAAGTAACCAAACAATGATTTCATTAAGTAAAATATTTTCCTTATTCTATGCTTTAGGAGAGAGACACATGTATGTTTTCCTCCTATATCTCTTCTGTTATCTTCTATACATAATAGTTTCTTTTTTTGGGATTCGATTTCTTGGCGTCTCTGTTGACTAATAGCTTTTAGGAGGCCGTTAACAGCTTTTTGCTTAATGAATAACAAAATTTTAAACTTAAAATTAGAGTAGTGTTCGCAATTCATTTCGAGATTTGAGTTGATATTTCAATTGAATAATTTCCTTTGTGTTTTTACAGTGAGTATTGGCTCTGGAGCTGCACCTGGTATGTACAATTTAAGCTTCTTTTCTGATTTTAATTTCGTTTCTCTACTTGCATTTGCGGCCTGCTTCTTTGGCTAAATAGAAAATTGCAACGTGCTTGAACAAGATTAAATGCCACACTAAGTCCTCAATATTTGCGAACACGAGTGAAGAAATAATCTTTTTTATGATACGCTTTATATTTCAAATTCTTAGGGCTTGACCTCTAGATGTATAAACAACAACAACAACATACCCAGTATTATCTCATACCGTAGGGTCTTGGGAGGTTAGTGTGTACGCAGACCTTACCCCTACTTTGTGAGTATAGAGTGTCTATTTCCAATATAGAGTCTATTTCCAATATACCCTCCGGAGGTATACCAGGCAAGTATTCAATCTATCCAAAAGAGATTCCTTTTCTCTTTTTTTCTTTTTGCTTTGAGTGTAAGTTTAAGGTGATATGCACTAATTTTTCTCTTTTTATGTTCCGAGGGGCCCTAAATTTAGTGTGTGTACAGTTCATAAAAAGCTGATTGTTCTGTTAAAATGGACCCAACCCTATTTTCACATTAGTCCATTCGATTGAAGATTGGTTTTGCACTAGTTCATTGACTAAATTAAAGTTTTTTTCTTACGTCTAAATCCGATATTCAACTTTTCTGTTCCACGGTGGATTAGACAACTTTGGGAAGTTGGAAGTTGATTAGTTTGTTTGTTGAAAACACTTTGTACCGAACAAGATAGTTGGGAAAATACTTAGAGTACGGAATTTTAGAATGAATTATTTGTATAAAATGTAGTTTTGATTATGGAGTTTTTGTTTAACCATGTACATGATTTTGAATGAGTCAATCCACCTTCTTGACAAGGATTCATTTGGAATCATTTAACGCACCATGATTAACCAGGATGTTTTGAGTGACCCACATTTATATTGCATTCACATATTAGCTTTGACCGCAGGAATGGGAAAGTTTTTCTTGAGGACATAACTATTGTAATATTTTGGGATTAATATATGATATATTTCCAGAGGGTATAGGAAGTACGTTTCAGTTGCCATCATGGCATATGATTCCTTTCAACTTTCGTGTTTCACTCTCATTTTAACTTTTATTGTTGGGAAGCCTCCACAATGCGATGAAAGTATGTTACTTTACATTTCAAACTTGCTTATATATCCTGGAAAAAGGTCTCGCGTTTGGGTTGCAATGATGTGACTGTTTTTCCGAAAAACGGATCGAGTTAAATTTGTACGTAGTTCTAAGAGTATGTGGTATAACTTGACACAAATCGTAAGAATGAATAGAAATATCAAGTGTTGACTATAGAGAATGAAAAATAAGCAAAGTTGGGAAGAAGATGATTTATAGATTAAGCAAGATGAATCTATTTATGGAGCTATAAAAGGATAACTCTTCAATATAGGACTTTATGATATCTCAGTTACAATGTATGCAAAAACTTGGTCCTTATAGAAATAACAAACATCCCCTTTATAGTGGAGGGATCCTACTTTAGATATAATTAAAAATTCATAGTGGGAGACCCATGATAAATCAGGTTTTCCATAATTCCTGCCAGGATTCTCTCTTCTAGTGGGATTGCAACGACTCTTGTCTATGATCTCGATATTGACTCGAGCTTGGTATCGACTCGAGCCCTCGATCTTGACTCGGATCCTTGTATTGATTCGGGGTCAGTGTTGGTCGGTCTCTGCCTCATAAGCTCGATAACTTCATCATAGTTTGATTTGGACTCGAGCTCGACATTGATCGGTCCCTAGGGCTCGAAGTTTGGTGACCTGACTTCGGACCTCAACCTGATATTATGAAGACGCTTCTCCGATCCAATGCATTACCATTTCAACCAGTTCGTACGAAAGACTAACCGATTTTTACCGTATACAGATAGTCCCCTCGTTTCTCGGAAAGGATACAACGAGAAACGACATGATTTCTCAACGGCTCGATCAGATATAAGCTGACGTTTACATTGGGCTCGATCATGACGCACATGATAGCTGTCTCGCCGGTTTAGCTTTTCAAGGCATTTAATGCGTGTGAGACGGTGGTCGGCCATTATCGAAACTGAACCGCCATTGCTATACCTATAAATAACCCCGTTTTTGCTTTTAATCACTTTTACATCTTCAAACTCTAAATTTCTTAACTTCTTTCTCACACTTTCTGAATTTACTCGCAAATCTGTGATTCTTCTCTGCAAAATCTTTCTTCAAAAACATCAAATCTTTATTACCTCCTTCTATTCTCTATATTTTAATCCAAAAATGACGAAAACATCAAAAACCATTCCTCAGAAAGAAAAAGCTTCTTCTTTACAGCCTGCCGCCGACAAAACACCGGTGGAGCCATGGCCTGAGAAATACGTTCATGGGGCATGTGTTCTTACGTCTGATTTTAAGGTCGACAAAGGCTCGTCGGTTCCCGGCCGATGTGAGCCAGTATCGAGGTATATGTGTTCGATAACCGAGAGGCACCTCGAACAGCTAAAGAAAGATTGCAATTGGGAGAACAAAGAAATAGTAATCCCGTCTTCTGAAGAATATATCACCACTTATGTGAAAGGGTTTTTAAGTATGTATACTTACCCTTTCACGTTAGGTCCCCTCGACCCTGTTATTATTAATTTCTGCCGTCAATACCAAATAACCCTAGGTCGGATCCATCCTTCTTTTTGGTAGATCGTTATTTTGATCCGTTACTTTGTGAACAAAATCGAGGGAATGCCTTTTACCCTCGACTATCTCATCCGATTGTACTGCCCTCGCCTCTTTCTAGGCGGATTAATAAAGCTTCAACGTCGGGCTACCAAGGTCCTGTTCTCGAGTATAGATGAGGACAGGGATCGAGGCTAGATCGGCAGGTTCGTTCGAGTAAAGACTTCAGACCTGATTCCGACTGAAGTGGAACATGAAGCGTAAGTGTAATTCTGTTGTTATCTTCTACTATTTTGCCCCTTCATTCCTTTTCTCACCGATATGCCCCTTTTGTGATGCAGCGGTTCCTTGGATGCCCGGTGCAGTCCCCGATCTCAAGAACTGGGTACGGGATCTAGCTTCGACCTCCACATACGCCGAGCGCTTGTGGTGTGATTTGTCAAAGGGCCGATGGGAGGCCAAAAATCATGGTGAGCCTCTTTCTCGTATCTTTGGTAGTTCGAACGAGATGTTTTCCATATATTTAAATCAATTTTCATGTATGTAGGTGTGGGCAAAGATGCGGTTTTGAGGCCCTCATCCGTCGAGGAAGAGGCTTCGGCCTCTGATCCAAAGCCGGTGAAGGATAATAAGAGAAAAAGGGCCTCCGCCTCTGAAGATCCAAAATCGAAGATGAGGATGACTCGAAAGTCGAGGAAGAATACCATTCCTTTGACCGTAGAATCAGTACTGCGTCTAAGGGATGAAGACGAAGAAGAAGAAAACGACGGGTCCGTGTTGGTGGCCCGAATGAAGAAATCCATCGATGCCCCAAAGGCAGCTGAATCGATGGTGATTTATAAAGCTCCGCCTCAGACTGAGGAGATGTCGAGGGAAGGTTCGGGCAGAGTCCCCAAATCATTGAAGATCGAGGATGCTTCCCACCGAAGTCAACAACCGGTGGGTATATCGGAATGGGCCGGTCCTGAAGCTCTCCGAACTGAGGAGAACGCCCCAAGTGAGTCGCTTGGGGCAATAGTAATCGGAGACTTGCCCACTCTCCCTGCCTTTTCCGAATGGGCGATTCGGGAAGCCCAAGCTTTGGGGGCCCTTGAGATGAGCTGGTCTCATGAAGGGGAGGACCCCTTCAGTGGTTTGTTTACTGGGGTCGAGGACGCTGCTAGCCCTAGTGATGTGTCGGGACTTTTCTGCGAAATGCAGCAAGCTCTGAATCGGGTAAGCTTTAACTCTCTTCGTTGATATTATTTTTATGTTTGCTATTCTTTTCTAACTTATTTTCTTCTTTCTTCGCAGGCCGTCGCGATTCATCGAGAAGCATGTTCTCGGTCTCGAGCTGAGCTACATCGATTCGAGGCCGACCTCCGACGAGTTACAGAGGAGAGGAATGTCCTCAGACTCCTTTCCGGTCAAAGAGAAGAAGAAATCAAAGGCATTCGAACTGAGTTGGCCAAGGCTCATCAAGACCAGACCGACCTGACCGAGCAGGTAATGATAATATTAAGAACTCATGAGCTTGATTCAGGATTGGAGGCTAATATTTCGATCTCACAACTGCAGTAGAAACTCTAGACGATCGGGCAGCTTCGTGAGGAAGTTGATATAATAAGGGCGGAGACCATGGGATGGAAAGATGGCATGGACTATCTTGCTAAAGGAAAGGAGATTGTTCGGACCCAATTGTCATCGACTGCAAGCCAACTTCAAGGCATGAAGGTGAAGAGCTCGGTTCAAGCGAGACAAATTGAGGAACTCGAGGCTCGGTTGGCCTCCGAACTTGCCAAGGCCAAATCTGATGCCGGAAAGGCAAAGTCCTAAGCGAATGTATTAGTGGCCGTCTATCGGGCGGATGTTAAAGCTTCTCAGGTACAAGCAAGAGAGGTAGCCTAGACCGCCAATACTCGAGCATATTGGGTTGCCGAACTTGCTAAATGCCGATCTCTGAGGGAGACCCTCGAAGAGATCCATGCTCAAGGCTTCGATCTCACCGAAGAGATAAAAAGAGCAAAAGAGCTTGAAGCCGATGCTGAAGCCTTGGCATCCGATGATGATGATGGTGGTGATGATGATGATGTCAATGATGGGAGCAAGAGTGGGTCCGAGAGCGGGGAGGAGCCCGATGGAGAAGAGACTGCCCCCGTAGATAACCAAGAAACTTATCCCTTAGTTTTCATTTTGGTTTTTTTGTGTAGTGTCCTGTTCGGACATTGTAAATATTCTTGTATATATAAAGATCTTTTCTTTTCCTGATTCGGCTCCGCTTTATTCTCTGCCTTTAGAAGATTTTGTTTTATCCATGTCTTATGAAGGTTTTCATAAGGTTTTGGCAATTTGATCGAATTTGGATCTTGTAGCCTTCATTACCGAGTGACTACTTGCTCAAAACTCGAAATAAGGTAGCCCATAGGCTTAGTAGTCGAGTTGAGTGATTGTTTGAACCTGAAGTAATGTGGCCCGTAGACTTAATGGTCGAGTGAGAGTTTGCTCGAACTCGAAATAAGAGTAGCCCGTAGGCTTAGTAGTCGAGTGAGTGATTCGAACTTGAGGTAATGTAGCCCATAGGCTTAATGGTCGAGTGACTGATTCGAACTTGAAGTAATGTAGCTCGTAGGTTTAATGGTCGAGTGAGTGGTTGCTCAAACTCGAGATGATGTAGCCCGTAGGCTTATTAGTCGAGTGAGTGATTCGAACTCGAGGTAATATAGCATGTAGGCTTAATGGTCGAGTGAGTGTTTGCTCGAACTCCAAATAAGGTAGCCCGTAGGCTTAGTAGTCGAGTGAGTGATTCGAACTCGAAGTAATGTAGCCCGTGACTTAATGGTCGAGTAGTGATTGCTCAAACTCGAGATGATGTAGCCCGTAGGCTTATTAGTCGAGTGAGTGATTCGAACTCGAGGTAATGTAGCCCGTAGGCTTAATGGTCGAGTGAGTGTTTGCTCGAATTCGAAATAAGGTAGCCCGTAAGCTTAGTAGTCGAGTGAGTGATTCAAACTCGAAGTAATGTTGCCCTTAGGCTTAATGGTCGAGTGACTGATTCGAACTCGAAATAATGTAGCCCGTAGGCTAAATGGTCGAGTGAGTGTTTGCTCGAACTCGAAATAAGGTAGCCCGTAGGCTTATTGGTCGAGTGATTGATTCGAACTCGAAGTAATGTAGCCCGTAGGCTTAATGGTCGAGTGAGTGTTTGCTCGAACTCGAAATAAGGTAGCCCGTAGGCTTAGTAGTCGAGTGAGGGATTCGAACTCGAAGTTTAGTTACCCCGTTCTTTATGAATGCGTGTTTTACCTCGGACTAGGGTCTTCTTTTTTGCTTCACCGGTTTGAACCTAGGGTCCAGGCTTAGCTGATGCGTCGTTATATCCGGTGGGATCCCTGTTATGTCTAAATGGGACCAAGCAAAACAATCTATATTATCAATAGGAAATCGAATAAGCTTTTTCCTGAGTTCGGGGGTTAATCCCGTTCCCAGGTATACCTTTCGTTCGGGCAGATATTTGAATAGTACGACTTACTCCAGTTCTTCGACCGTTGATTGGGTAGCACTGGAATCAGCGGGGACCACGAAGGATCTTGGGATCCCTTGCTCATCATCTTCGTCAATCTTCTGATCTTCTAGTTGGTTCGAAGCTGACGTCTGTGATTGCTATTTGGCATCGTGTTCCTCCTTCGAGCCCGAACCCTTTGTCGATGAAGGCGAGGATATCAGAATTGCTTCTTCGACGGCAAACATTTCCCTTGCGGCCGGTTGTTCCCCGTATACTGTTTTGATTCCCTTCGATGTTGAGAATTTAAGAACCTGGTGGAAGGTCGAAGGTACAGCTTTCATATTGTGTATCTATGGCCTTTCAAAAAGGGCATTGTATCTCATATCGCCTTCTATTACGTGGAACTTCGCTTCCTGGATAGTCCCGGCCACGTTTATCGGCAGAATTATCTCGCCTTTGGTAGTTTCACATGTCATATTGAATCTGTTTAGAACCAGGGTTGCGGATACGACCTGGTCCTATAGACCGAGCTGTTCTACAACCTTCGATCTAATAATGTTGGCCGAGCTACCTGGATCAATTAACACACGCTTAATTTTAGTTTTATTCATGAGTACGGATATTATCAGTGCATCGTTGTAAGGTTGCATGACTCCTTCTGCATCTTCATCATTAAAGGACAAGGTTCCTATGGGTGCGTAATCCCAAGTTAGAGATCGCTTTTCTTTCATAATCGATGTCTTAGTGTGTTTAAGTACCGGCTCCTGAGGGGTATCGACGTTACCGATGATCATGTGGATGACGTGCTGTGGTTTTTTCCTGTTCGTTTTGTTTACCGAAATCCCTATTTTTGAAATGGTTTTTGGCTTTGTCACTTAAAAATTCTCGATGCCCTTAATTGAATAACCGGGCTACCTCCTCTCTTAGTTGCCTACAATCTTCCGTTCAGTGTCCATGGGTGTCATGATATTCACACATTTGATTGGGGTTCCTCTGGGCATGATCGGTCTGCATGGGTCGAGGCCATTTAGTGTCCTTGATGCGTCCGATAGCCGACACGATGGCATATGCATCGATCCTGAAGTTATACTCTGATAACTGTGGTACTTCCTTAGGTCTGGTATGCCTATCAAATCCATTTCTGTTCATCAGTCCCCGAGACCGTTGGCTTCGATCATTTCTCTTTTCGCCTCGTGAAAGTTTGCTACCCCGGTGATCTCCGTTGTACGGCCGGTATCGATCCTTGCTTGACCTTGGTTCTCGATCGGTATCCCTTTTAAAACCGGACCCGGAATCCAACTGGTCGTCTTCGACCCTTATTTTAGATTGATACCGATTGTGCACATCAACCCAAGTAATAGCTGGGTATTCGATTAGGTTATGCTTCAGCCGCCGTGAAGCCATCGAACTTTATTCGTTCAGACCTTGAGTTAAAGCTTGAACAACCCAATTGTCTGTCACTGGTGGTAGATCCACTCGTTCCATTTGGAAACGAGATACAAATTCTCTTAGCATCTCGTTATCCCTTTGTCTTACCTTGAATAGGTCCGACTTTCGGGTCTCGACTTTTATGGCCCCGACATGTGCTTTTACGAAACAATCTGCAAGCATAGCAAAAGAATCAATAGAGTTAGATGGTAAATTATGATACCATATTATTGCCCCCTTCGACAGGGTTTCACCGAATTTTTTCAATAATACGGATTCGATTTCATCATCTTCTAGATCGTTTCCTTTAATGGCACATGTGTAAGATATGGCATGTTCGTTGGGGTCGGTCGTCCCATTATACATAGGAATTTCGGGCATGCGAAACTTCTTTGGGATTGGTTTAGGGGCCACGCTCGGGGGGGAAGGCTTCTGTACGAATTTTTTGGAATCTAAGCCTTTCAATATCGGGGGTGCCCCGGGATCTGATCAACCTTGGAGTTGTATGTTTCCACCTTTTTGTTATTTTCTTTAATCCTTTTTTCTCCTGATTCTATTCGTTTTGTCAGTTTCTCGAACATCTTAACAATTTCGGGATTAGTCCCCGATTCTTGCTCATTTGGCCTCACTACAACTGGTTCCATTTTGTGAGTGACTTCCTGGGGCGGATTGGACTCCGGCCTGCTCGGTATCTGGGTTTGACTCTGCAACTGAGCTATTGCTACCTGTTGAGCTTGCAACATTTCGAAAATCATACGTAAGCTGACTCCGTTTTCTTCAACATTATGGGTATCTCAAGCTGCAGATCGAGTACCACTATGAATGCTATTTTCAGGTTCAGAACGTTGGCCTGCCTCGATGGCCACATGTGATTTAACATTCAAGGGTACTTCGACTCGAGCTCCAACGGCGTTGACGAGCGGCATTTCGCCACCGGGCGCCAAGTTATTGTTCTCATCTTGAAGGCCAGCTTCGTTGTTGATAGGCAAGGCCATTGATCGGGAATTTGCTGTTGCTAATATGAAATCAGAGATGCTTCAAAATAAGCGTGAAATGGCCAGTATTTCAGAGATTCGTGTCAAATAGCCACTGTTATCCTTAGCCCCACGGTGTGCGCCAAAATGTTTAACCGAAAAACGAATTGAGTTAAATTTATACGTATTTCTAAGGGTATGTGGTATAAGTTGACACAAATCGTAAGAATGAATAGAAATATCAAGTATTGACCTCAGAGAATGAAAAATAAGCAAAGTTGGAAAGAAGATGATTTATAAATTAAGCAAGATGAATCTATTTATGAAGATAAAAAAGGATAACTCTTCAATATAGGAGTGTATGATATCTCAGTTACAATGTATGCAAAAACTTGGTCCTTACAGAAATAACAACCATCCCCTTTATAGTGGAGGGATCCTACTTTAGATATAATTAAAAATTCGTAGTGGGAGACCCATGATAAATCAACTTTTCCATAATTCCTGCCAGGATTCTCTCCTCTAGTGGGATTGCAACGGCTCTTGTCTATGAGCTCGATATTGACTCGAGCTTGGTAACGACTCGAGCCCTCGATCTTAACTCGGATCCTTGTATTGATTCGGGGTCAGTGTTGGTCGGTCTCTGCTTCATAAGCTCGATAACTTCATCATAGTTCGATTTGGACTCGAGCTCGATAATGATATCGAGCTCGACATTGATCGGTCCCTAGGGCTCGAAGTTTGGTGACCTGACTTCGGACCTCAACCTGATATTATGAAGACGCTTCTCCGATCCAATGCATTACCATTTCGACCAGTTCGTACGAAAGACTAACCGGTTTTTACTGTATACGGTGACCTTTCAGGATAGTGGATTCTTAATTGGTCTCAACTTGTGATATCATCTCCTCCCAATTTTGTTATGTGAACAGAATGTCAATAAATATGTCCTTCTAACCATTTCTAGGATACTAGTTATACTGGACTTTAGTTGCCTTTTGTCTCTTCTCAAGGTTGGATCATCTCTTGCCTTAGAATGTTTATATACATAGTGAACTGCTGTTCAATTTTGCAACTCAAGAATTAAGAAGAGTCAAATGGATTGTGTTACAATGAAGTTGTACTAGTTCACCAAGTAGGTGAGATTTTTTGTTTTTTTGAACTTTTTAATGTTTTTTGTTGCAGCTCTTTCCCCAACTACTGTATCACCAAGCGCGACAGCAGGTGCACCAAGTACTGCTGCAGGGACAAACGTGGTTGCTCCAGCACCTGGAAGCTCCGGTTCAGCTTCACTTTGTCAATCTTTTGGGCCGCTGGCTCTGACCATAGGAGCTGCATTTTTCTCTTTATTCTAAGCAACATTTTTCTGTAATGTTTCTGGCGTAGATGAGATCTACACAGCAACTCGGGTTGGTTGTAATTGGGCCCAAGATTTCTTCTTTAAACAAGCAACTGATGCTAGTGGCCTTGTTTAACCATAATTGCATCCAATTATCGCATGACAGCTCAAAGTCAACTTTAATAATAGCATGTTTAGTCTGTTAGAGTAATACTAGCTTTTCTTTATTTGTGACAATATCATATTTTGAGATTAAGTTTGATGATTGGAGTATCTCATAATTATCTGGATAAAGGGTTTAAAGAAAGCTACATGCTATTTCACATTCCATTTTAGGTAGGTGTCATAATGTTTAATAAAAAGGACAACTCGATTCACATGCTTACTACATGTATTTTTCTGGCCTAGAAATTAGAATGAGTTCTTGCAGTTGGAATATCTCGTTATGATTGCTAATTATATGTGATGAACCAAATCTTATCATAACTGAAAATAAGATGTTAAGTTACTACAGAGAGTATAGATGAGGAACTATATACGAGTAAAAAATTGAAGGATTAAGTTACTTTCTTGGCTGTAAATGGGGGACTAAATTCAAGTGGAAAGTTGGGGAAGAAAGTATTTACCTCGGAAAAGATTCAATCCAACCACATATTTCCCTACAGCTAACTTGTTACGATATCAACCAAGTTAAAGACCCCATTGTGATATGCGCCAATAAGACCATAACCCCTAAGTTCTAAACCTATGAGTTAACTTTCTCGTATGAACATTCAATACATTTGTAAATCCTTGGGAGAGTGAAACACTCGATTGAATCTCCCTTTTTTTGTTCTGTTCCAAAGTCCCAAACTTATGGTTTCTGTAGTGAACCAATTCGTTAACATAATAACTAAACCGGACGAGTTGTGAGACTGAATATGCTATTGATAATTCAATAACAATACTATGAATTTTACATGTTTTTAGGTTGCATAAATGATCATTACNCATGTGTAAATCCCTGGGAGAGTGAAACACTTGATTGAATCTTCCTTTTTTTGTTTTGTTCCAAAGTCCCAAACTTATGGAATTATGGAATCTTATTTATGTAGTGAACCAATTAGTTAACAAACTAACTAAACTAGAAGATATGGTATTGATAATTCAACAACAATACTATGAAGTTTACATGTTTTTAGGTTGCATAACAGATCATTAGAAGTCAAACAAGAAAGCATATTGTGCATTACTCAATCTTCCAACACATTTCTCATACCCAAGTCAACACACCAAAAATACAAGGTAAATTAGTTATGCAGTACTCTCTCTAAAACATTGTATGTGAAAGAAGTACCACCAAAGGAATACATGGAGTTGAAAAAAATAAAGCAAATTTACAAACCCCCCCCCAACCATCATATAGACACCTTGAACTTTCTTAAGTTAAACATCTGATTCTTTGATACTAACATAGTTCTTTTGTAAGTGTTTTTACTGTATTTGTCAAGATTCAGGGCTCCATTTTTGGGGCAAATGTCATGACAGCATCTGCCACAGTTAGGAAAATCTTGTCTTCTCCAATCATGTCTGGAAAACCAGATGCATGAAGCTTGTCATTCACCAGTGGCCCCGGATTTGCCAGAACAAGCTGTAAACAATCAAAAGTGTACATAAATATATTAGACCCTCAAAAAGATTGGTACAAATGTAAAATTTCTATACTAGTTTTAGCTTACTTGAACATCTCGTTTCTGGAGGGACTTGAACAAATCTTCTAAGGAATGAATTCCACTTGTATCTATATCAGTAACAGCTGCAAGAGAGCAAGAATCAAGTTACTCAATCAAAACCTCAGGGACAAAGAATTCGAAGAATATAGTTTTTGGAGAATTCCTTACGCGACATTTCAACTATCAAATACTGGATCTTTTGTTGGTTAGTTTCTTTTAGCATTTCGTCTTCATCAGTTAGCCATCTTAGTATCCTGCAAAACTTTGATTTTAATACGAATCCAACGTATATCGTCAAGCTAATGAAGTAGCAATTAGTACCTGTCCCTCATATAGTTGGAGTTGGAAAAGTAAATAGCAGAATCAACTCTCACAATAAGAATTCCAGGGACCCTTGTTGCTTCTGGATATTGCTGTATATTTCTGTATACAGTAGTCCTAGGGACCTTCCCAAGAACAGCAATCCGAGGCCTTGTAACTTGGAGGAGGATTTTGGCAAATGATATAGCAACCTAATAAATGAAAATTTTGAGGATCAAAAATTGCCTTAGTATTGATGTAATCAATCCAAGAAATTAAGATAAAAGAAGAATTGTCCAGCTTGTTTACCGCGATCAAGAGGCCTATTTCAACAGACTCGAAAATCACCCCTAAGAAGGCTCCCATGCAAGCAACGAAATCAAACTTGTCAATCTTATATAGGAGTTTCATTGCATCGATATCTATCAACCCGATAACTGCAGATATGATGATGGAAGCCAATATAGCATTCGGCGTGTACTTGAACAATGGTGTGATCAATTCTAAAGTTAGTAACACAACACAAGACATGATAATGTTTGAGACTGCCGTATGGCATCCAGCCATATAGTTGACTGCTGAACGAGAAAAGGATCCTGCGCAACAATTGCAAGTTCATTTGCAATCAATTTACTGAAAATTTTAGGTGGGAATTAGTAATAGACTTGTTTCGCTGTGTTTTGCACCTACCTGTAGCCACATAGCAGGATGTCATTGAGCCAACTATATTCATTGTTCCTAAAGCAACCATTTCTTTGTTTCCATCCAATTGGTAATCCTTCAATGCTGCAAATGTTCTTCCAATAGCAGCAGCTTCCTATAATTCAACAAGTTTGTACAATAAAAATAAGCTTTTTGATAACTGGCCAAGAAATGGATATTAATGTGATGGGAAGCATAACTTACAGTTAGTGCTATCAAACCAGAAATTGCACCAATTTTGAATCCTTTGGTTAAATTTTCACCACTGAAATAAATTTGCTTCAGTGATGGTGGATTGATCCCTCGATCGATGTGTCTTACCTTGATGTTATAAAAAGATCAAACGTAAGGCACAAAAAAAAAGGAAGATAAAAATAATACAGAGATAACATAAGAACTATGATAATGTAAAAGAACTCACAATTTGGACACCATGTTTTTCAGCATGGAAGATAAACACAAATAACGTCGAGAGGATAATGGATATCATTGGAGCAATTGCAGGCACCCAAAAGTATTTCTTGTTCTTTTTTCCCTGTTCAACAATAAAAGGCAAAACAAAAAGCATTAATAATTGGCAATCAGATCAACCATGATGGTAACATAATTAGTTGTACTTATTTTGATTCTTACAATAAACTTGGCGACTAGAAGGAAAGCCAAGAAAGATACACCAATCACAATAGTCTGCCAGTTCCACTGGTCCAAAAGAGAATGATAGTTAGCTCTATTAACAGTTGAAGAAAACAAAAAGGGAATACATTGAGATTTGTCTGACCCCATGATGTGCTGCAGCAAAAACTGATCTCATAACAGAAACAATACCAGTTTCCTTTGTGAATTTCTTTATGCCAAGCAGACCTTTCAGCTGTTGAAGACTGATAGTAATGGCTGCTCCAGCCATGAAGCCAACTATGGCAGCATGAGACAGAAAGTCAATCAAGAAACCCAACCTAATTAAACAGAGAAAAAAAGAATACAAGTCAGCTTATTCTAGTGCTAAAATGCCATAGGAAAGAATTGAGATTAGTAACATACATGTTAAAGCATCTAGCCTATATCTAATACTATTTCTATATATCCATTTGTATGTAACATCTATTTGTACAGTCAAACAGTTTTCTCTAACTATGAACCTTTTAAGGATAACAATTACAAAGCTTCAGTTGAATTCAGCTATATGTATCTTCACTGTCCATGACGCTCCTTTCAATTATGAACCTTTTTAGTACTATTTATGTACCTTTTTTACTATGGCATTTTAGTTGAAACAGAGTACAGTTTAATTTACACCGAAAATTAAAAGGTCTGACACTCATAATCTGAGCCCCTTCAAGGAATTGTAATTGTTCCATATTCAAGGAAGCAGAATATAACCTGAAAAATCCAAGAATGAACTGTGTAATCCCTGCAAAAAATGTAGCAGTGAAAGCAAGGCGCTGATACTCGAGTTTTTGTTTAACAGGATCAAACTCTGCCTGAAGCATGCTTCCAAGCAAGAGTGACACCACAGCAACTGGCCCTATGGCAATATCTCTTGAACTACCCATGAAGGCATAAACCAAGGGTGGCACAAAGCTACTGTCTGTAATAAACAAAATGAAAATTAATCTTTCAACCTGATAGTAAAGGCAAGTAATAAAGAAGGGGAGCACCATCGGGCCAGAGGCAAATCCAGAATTTAAAGTTGGTGGGTGCCAGAGGTGGATCCAGTATTTAAAGGTAGCGGACGCACATTTGCATTCAACCAAAATTTGTTTTGTATATAGGGTGCCACTACTAATTTATTACTAATTTTTAAAGACATATACATACATACATATATATATAGAGAGAGAATTTTTATCGAACTTCACGAGTGTCGGTGACCCCTCATTCTGTAATGTAGGTCCGCCTCTCTTACTATATTTATATATTTTAGTATATATTGGTGGAGCCAAAAGTAACGAGTTTAGTTGAACCCACATAATCCGTTCTAAATCTGCCTTCTGGGTAGGGCTAGAGGCGGATGGAGCTACTATACTATGGTTTCAACTGAATCAAATATTTACAACACATATTATAGATATCTAGTGAAGAACAACCAATATTAAATTGTGAACCCATAATTTCAAAAACAGGATGGGTTAGTCCGTCAAGGATGTTAAAATTGAGAATCTGCGAGTGATTAAAAGGGGGAGTGAACTTACATAGCCCATATTGAGGATCCAAATTTGCAAGTTTTGCATAGCCAATATCCTGAAAGGCCAACACTAGGTAGTTAATTAACATGGCAACAAATTAAAAAAACAGAAGAAAGAAGTCCAAATAATGAATGACTAGTTTCTTGTAATTTACCTGAGGGATACACAAACTGGCTATAGTAAGGCCAGAAATAAGGTCACCTTTAAACTTGGATAAATTATAAGACCTTCCCCAATCAAGAATGGGAAAAACAGCTTGAATGCCAAGACGCAATTTCTTAGTCTTAGATTGGTCCTTAAAATGTCGCAAAGGATCATCATGAAAAAATGTTTCCTTAACACTTTCAGTAATTTCCTTGAGTAAG